ATGTCTGTCTGTCCACCCCGTCCACCCACCCACCCATTTAGACGATGGTTCACAGAGGCGGGGTGCATGTGGATGGGAGGAATAGCTCCTAAGTCTGTGACAGTAGGAGAGCCGTGAATGGCAGTAAGTGAATATTGTGAAATAGCTAATAGGATTTAGGGTGCTCCCCAACCAAATGAGGGTGCTCCTTGCCCTGACCTGACCGTCACACAGGAACACACACATTCAAATGCCACTGTACTCATAAACACAATCAGCAAGTGTTAATTAAAAACAAAAGCTACTAGAGAATAAAACATCCTGTGGACTGATGGATGGCTTCCAGGGATTCCGGAGAAGCCAGCTGGTGTGGGCTGAGGGAGGAGGTGGGAACCTCGGTGCAGCCGGTCAGGTGCATGGACCTGGTCATCAGTGGAGGGTGGACATCAACACATCTGCATCTTTTGGACTCTAGTTTAATGTTAAGTCACTTCAGAGTTTTTTCCCCCAGAAGCAGTTGTGGTATCCATGTTAAATAGATCTGGAGATGGCCACTCTCTGAGAAAGGCATGTTGAAAAAGAGTTCATTTTAGAATGGCCCCATTTAGAAGTGGTTCATTCACGTAGAAAGCTCTTCCTACTCTGGTGAAGGTAAGTAGTCAGTGAAGAAGAAATGTCTTTAGAAATCAAGTCAAGTGACGGGGTTTTCATCAGTGTTAAGCACTGAGGTGAAAAAAAATGTATTTTTTATCACATTTTATTTAAAAGACAAAATTCTCCCACTTTCACGGTTTAACTTAAAGTTTTCCACTTGGGTGCCTAATTTGAACACTAATATATCTTGATCTTATAGAAATTCATTTTGCTGTTAATTCTTACTGTTCCCAACTACTGATAATTATTTGAATTATGTAACATAATTGATCTCAGTTATTCTAAATTTATTTGCCAATAGAAAGCTACTTTTTTTCTGAAATTTTCTTCTATGAATCCTTCTGAGAAAACCAAATTGAATAATATAAATTTATATTTAACACATTTTATTTCAAATGTAGTAATCACAGATCAATGGAATCTTAGTACACTACACATTTGAAGTAGAGTGCACTGTGGCTTTTATATTGAAGAGCTTCCTGAGCTAGATGAAGCCAAAGCAGAAGCTGGAGTTAATAAAGTAGAAGTTGAGTCATTTTCCACTCCAGTGGTGCCTTGACCCTTTGCAATGAGTAGCCCCTCCTCGGCTTGGCTGCTGGGAATGAGCTCACCTCTAGGCGCATTCCCTAAGCTGCAATCAAACAGCGAGATTGTTATTGTCGTCTAAAGAAGCTTGATACACAGTGGTGGCTGTTTGCAGTCATCTGCAAAAAGGATCCCTGACAGTAATTAGGAGAGTGCTGTGTTCTGCAGCCTGAAGGTGCCTGAGAGGACCCTCCAGAGCACCCAGGCTGCCCGGGGACTGTGGGGTCCTGGAGACTCTCTGTGGGCCAGGCTCCTGGACTCACTTCTGTCTGATGGAAGTCCCGAAAGCAGGAGCCGTGTTAAGTGTCACAGAGGACGTGCACAGTGCCTTGGCCAGTGAGGAGAGTCTGGCCCTAGCTTTTCAAAGTTCATCTTTATATTTTAAATTACAAAGTAGTGAAATCAGGAGTAGCACAATCACTAGCACAGTGGGAAAATACTTATGATGGCGTCACCACTCCAGAACAGTTTCGTGCCTGTCCTTCCTGACAGAGTGGGGTTAGCTGTGCAGTTCCTTGGACCTGGGGTGCATGTGATTTTCTGTCATGCATCTTTTTTTCCTATGTTGTCACATATTCTCATTTCTGTCTTTTTTCTTTTTCTTTCTTTTCGTTCTTTCTTTCTTTTTTTTTTTTTTTTTTTGGTACCAGGGTTTGAACCCAGGGGCACTTAACCACTGAACCATATCCCCAGTACCTTTTTTATTTTTTGCTAAATTGCCTAGGGCCTCACTAAGTTGCTGAGGCTAATCTCAAGAACCTGCAATCCTCCTGCCTCAGCCTCCAGATCCACTGGGAAGACAGGCATGCACCACCACTTTATCTTTTACATAGCAGCATTGAATTCTCTCACGTGTATCTAAAAATAATTGAGACGCACACAGCCTGTCCTTGGGCAGGTCCCTGACTTCTGAAACCATGTTTGGCAGTAATTTTTCCATATTTTTGAACAGACATGTATTGCCAAAAATGAAACCAGTTAACACAATGGTGATATTATTGTTTTATTATTAATATCACACAAAACTTGTTAATATTTATGATCTACAACATGGTATTTTGAAATGCATACACCTTGTAGAGTGGCTAGTCAGGCATTTAACAGACCCTTTGTCTCACATACTTAAGATTTTTTTTTTTTTTTGTGATGAGAGCATTTAAAATCGGTGCCAGTAGTTTCCAAGTAAACAATATGCCTTCACCCACAGTGGCCCTGCGTGTGCCTTAGGGCTTCTGAACTTAGGCCTCCTGCTCCTCCTGTCTCAAGTGTCGTGTGCTTTGGCGGGCGTCACCTCGTCCCTCCCCAGCCCCTGGTAGCCACCGCTCCGTGCTCTGCGTGTGTGGATCCTGTTGTCAGAGCCCTCGTGTGAGTCACGCAGTGCTGGAGGTCACGCAGTGCTGGAGGTCACGCAGTGCTTGTCTCTCTGTGCCTCCAGGGAGATCCTCCAGTTCACCCACACTATTGCAGAGGACAGGAGGCCCTCTGGCTTGGCACTGAGCTGTGTCCCATGGCAATGTGCAGGGCACTTTCCTCTTCTGTGGGTCTTGGGTGCACACTGCGGTTAACCCTGCACCTGGCTGTGATCTGCAGTGAACTGGGAAAGCCGCCGTCTTCACACACGGGGTTCTCCTCTGTGGCACATGAGCCCTGCAGGGGCGGTGGACCCAGTGCAACGCTGTCCTTCGTCCTCCAAGAGGCTCCAGGCCTTTCCCCCACACTTCATTGGCCGTCTCCTGCCACAGTGCACAGGGCTCCCCGCGTCCACCTCTCACCGACACTTGACACCCGCCTCCTGTCTCTTTGATGATGACCGTTCTGCGAGGTGAGGGGACATCTCCTGGACTTTTGATCTGCATTTTCTGATGTCCAGATGCAGTTCAGGGAATGATCTGGAGAGACCATGGACGCCCACCGCGTGCATGAGGAAGGGAGCGGCGCTGCTGGAGCAGGTGCTGCCCAAGGCTAGTGAGGGTGGACAGCTTGCTGGACCCGCAGCAGCTGCCCAGTCGAGCCATAATTGCCCCCCACCCCGCACTTAACCACTCTTGAAGGAGAGCATTAGAGGCCAGCAGCTTTGTCTAGGAGGCTCATCAGAGCTGCCAGCCCACCCTCCAGGCCCAGCTCCCCGCCCTCCATGTTGACCCCCCTGGTCCACGTCCTTTGCAGCCCCACGACACCCCCATTTCTTAATGCTTATTCATCGTTATTGTTCCTTCCTTCCTAGACAGGTCTCTGTCTCCACAAGATCGGGCTTGGCGGTCTTACTCATTTCTGCATATACGGGGCCTAGGACAGGCGGAGGCATAGTAGATATTCAATAACATTGCACTGAAAAGATGATGAAAATGTGGAAACCAAAATTTAAGTAAATAGAAAGAAATAGAGATTGGAGCCCGAAGAAGGAAACTTGTTTTTAAAACAAAATTCTTAGATTTATTTTATTTACTCCATGTGGTTAAGAGGTTCAAACGAAGGTCAGTGGGGGAAATTATGGAGAACAAAGTCTCCAGATAACTGTCTTAAACACCTCTTGTGACTGGCAATGAAACTAAGCATTGCTTATGTTTTATACTTTTTACCTTCAAAATAATACAAATTTGTACCTATTACATGTTTCTTATGAAAGTTGCTTCCACAGAACTTCAGTGGCTCTTGACATTTGGTGAATAGTGGGCTTCATGGAAAGAAGGAAGTCTGGAAAGCCCTGTGTGCTGTAAACCTCCCCATTTTGCATAACAAATTTTATTAAGCTGAGAAGTTCTTCTCGAAAAGGAAGATGCTCACTTTTGTTTAACCTAGAATGTTCCAAACTAGTTTGACCTGGCTTGGTGATGTGCATGTACACCTGTGTCTACCCCAGGAAGAGGGTTACCTGGATGCAAGAGTCTCCACCACCTTGCCCAGTTGACACCCAGTGTGATGTGGTGCATGAGGATTTCCCGTCTGTTTCTTTCCCCCGTATCTTTTATTACTGATTTCATTCACCTACAGGGAGGGCTATGCAGCTCCAGCCCCACAGYCTCCCTCTTTCTTCCCGACCTCCACCCTACAGTTTCCCAGTCAGAAGACACAGCAGAGCTCCTGCTTGTAACAACAGGCTTGTCAGATAATGAAACAAGACCCCTCCCCACTCAGTGCCCAAAGGGGGCTGAGGAGTCATGTAACCCGCGTGTTCAGATCTGGCCTGGGTCTCTCTTGTTACTCTGCAACGATGCTTTGCTAATGCTCCAGCCCTCAGGCTTCATGTTTGCAGAGGCTCTGGAGCCAAAGTCATTTCCATCCACTTCTAGGCTGGGTGGATTGCTGTCTTCTAAATAAACGGCTCTTTTCCTGTAAGATATATTTTTGAAACACACTGACACGGGCCTCCTTTTGAACGTGTTGAACATGTGCGATGGGAGTCTAGATCCTTGGCTGAGGCGGTTCCTTCATTGGGACCTCCTGAGACTTGCTCTTGAAGGGACCTCTGGAGGGGGGCAGGTTTGTTTTGTTTCTGGGTCAGCTGCAGGACCCTGAGGTCGCCTGGGCTCTTTCTGTACTTACAGGTGACAGGTTGAGGCCCTTGGGTTTGTTAGCTCTGAAGGCGGCAGAACCCTGTGGGCGCCTGGCCTGTGGTTCTGTCAGGTGTCTGAGTCACAGGGCGGCCTCTGCGCATGTGGCCTGCAGACCATATGGCTCCATCTCTTCTAGCCGAGTCACCGTGCCGCAGCCGCCTGGGTGATTGTTTTCAGAGGAGTTTCCTGTGAATAATTTTGATTGTTTTTTGTTTTGTAACTGTCCAGGGTTGGTGCAAACGTGCAGTTCTCCTGTGAGGATAATTATGTGCTCCAGGGATCCAAAGGCATCACCTGCCAGAGGGTCACAGAGACATTGGCGGCATGGAGTGACCACCGGCCTATCTGCAGAGGTAAGGCACGAGCAGGCGTGGCCGGAAGCACGCCTTCCTTGGGGGCACGTTTTTCTGAACACATGTTGCACTTACAATGAGATGTAAGTGCAAAGCACTGTCAGTAGATGGAGAGAATGTGATCGGGATGYGAGTTTGCTTCACCCTGGGCCAAAGCGTGTATTCTCTGGGTGCTTGTTAGAAGGCGAGCTCCTGGGCTGTAGCGTCTCTGTGCCTCAGGAGGGACAGCGGCAGATCAGAGCACTCAYGTCTCTCACACTCAGCTTGCCACGCTCCTGTATGTGCACGGAGTGGGCTTCTGTGCCACTCTGTGTCACAAACCAGGTCCTTTAGAGAGTTTCTTGCACAACCTGCAAAGAAACAYAGACTCTTGAGCTTTCTGTTGCTGTGAGACTGAATTCCTGGGTTTTGTGATGTGAGAAAGGGTGTTGTTACCATGATCTCAAATCATCACTGTGTTAAAACCTGTCTTAAGCTAATCTCTCACCTAGTYGACAGGGCAAGGTATGCATCAGCAACACCATCTTCAAAGAGAACACAGGAAATCAGGAGAAACTAAGGTGTTAATCTCACTCCTTGGAAGTATTGATTTGAATACTACTGGAATTCTAGAGAGCATACCAAAACCAGAAGGCAGAACATTGCTTTGGAAAATATTAGTAAAATTAAAAGAAAACTGGGTTTGGGAGGCTTTCTTTTTGCATTTTGTTTTTAAGATAATTTGTCCAAACAATGGTTCTTGTTTTGTACAAGTACTATGTAGACCACGGAATAAGGAGGAAAGTTTCATGGGTAGGACTATATCATCTCTCCTGGGAGCTGTTCAAGAGGAATGGGAGAAGGTGTCCTGGACAGTGCACAGCGCTGGCTTCCTCCTKGAAGTGAAATGGCTGCAGACACAGCTCCACCCTCCTGTGGGCTCCACCTTCCATATGGCGGTGCTCGCTGCATGCTCACCCTTCCTGTACCACATACTGCTGTGCCTGGGAGAGGGTTGGCACTGGCCGTGACCCTCCCTGTGGCAGGTGGGCCAGGGCTCCCGGACTGCTTCACAGAGAAGCTCCTGTCTCTGAGCAAGAAAACATGCAAGCCTGTGCCTTTAGGATTTTGTCATTAGACTACTTTGTGTACTTCCCATTATTAAAGCAAAATTGTTAAGCTTTCAAAGACACCGTACCAAATTCGTGTTCCCCTGAGTGGTGGCCATGCACGAGGTCMTCAGGTATGAATAAGTGGGAGGTCCCAGGAGGGGGACTTCCCCATGAGAAAACGGCCCTTCGCTCTTAATAGTGTCTTTCCCTTGTTTAATGGACATGTTCCTCTTGATTTTAAAATTCCAGATTACACAAATAGTAAATGTGTGTGTTTTTAAATATTTCTTACTTTTAAATTGGTAGGGAGGAGTAATGCAAAGAGGATTCTTGTCCATATTCTATTTTATTTTTATTTGCTGATCCATGCCATCTCCTTTCTTTGTGCTGAAGCCCAACGTGACTYGGCCATTTCCCAAAACCCTCCCTAAGCTCCTGGCTGCCCAGGCTCAGGTGCTCCTGGCCTGTCCCTCTGTGGGAAAACCTGTTCCACCCGGCTCAAGCTGGAGTCCTGCCAGCCTCCAGCCCCACCATTTACTCTTACAGACAGACTGAGGAGGAGTCTTTTTAAAATTTAAATGTATTTCTAACTGATACGTGAAAACATATAAACTGCATGTATTTATGGGATACAGGGTGGCGTATCTGTACATGGATACATTGTTTAAATTTTAAATCAGGCATATACTTGTCGGTCTCCTTAAACCTTTGTGGTTTCTTTAGGAGGTGAACATTCAAACCCCTTTTTCCAGCTCTTAGGAATGCACAGTAAATTATCATTCCCTGCAGTTGACCCCTGGCCCCTGGCCTCAGAACGTCCCCTGTCCGACACCAACGCGGTGCCCACTGGCCGACCCTCCTGGCCGACCCTCCCCACTGTCCTGCCGCCTCCGAGACCCGCTGTTTCTCCACCTGTGACAAGTGCGGCCTGCAGTCCCTCCTCCTGGGCCTGCCTGGCTCCGCTTGACCTCAGGACGTCCCGTTTCATCCGGGTTGTAGCACGTACAGCACTGCATCATTTCTGTGGCTGAGTAGTGCTCCGTGGTGCACGTGGACCCCGTTTTCTCTGCCCCTTCCTCCACTGACGGTCATTTAGGCTGCGTCCTTCTAGGCTGTTGTGAATAGTGGGCAGTGAACTCAGAAGTGTCCCTTTAGGCCCTGGGTTCATCCCCTTTGGGTGTGCGTCCAGCCCTGGGTGGACCATCGCGGGATCTACAGATTCACTGTCCCGAGGAGCCCTGCGTTCTCCCTAGTGGCGGTGAGGGGGGAGCAAGGGCTCCTGCTCTCCACACCCAGGGAGTCTCTTGACTTGGTTCTTATCCCTGTCCGTGTCCTAGTGGATCACGGGACAGGAGGGAAGCCCYTTCTTCCGGCTGGTTGTCCTGCGGTGTGCTTGGCTTGCTTCTCTGCTCKCGGGGTGCTTGGCTGCATCCCTCCAGCCCTCCCCTCCCAGCCGACGGCCCCTCCTCGGCCCCGACTGGATGCTGGCTGACCATCACCCGGTCTTCASCTGCTGCCGAGTTGCCACTCTAAGGTTCTGGATAGTGACCTGCTGTGTGGGAGCAGGTCCACGAGGGTGCTCTCAGACAGGATGGGTTTTCCTGGCCTCAAGTAGATGAAAGACACAGCAATACTTTTGAAATGCACTTTTTTTTTTTAAAGACAAAGCCACATGGTTCTTGGCCTACTTTAATTTCTGACTTTTTAATACAATGTCYATGTCAAACACAATTAAAACACATTTCTTATCACAACTAAATTAAAAAGTGTAGGCATAGTGCCTTTTTGAATTCAAATATAAAATCTCCTTTTAAATCAGTTCATATTCTGGAAAACATTGTCATTCATCAGTAGGTATTTTTGCATTCGATTTATTTATTCAATTGGCACAAAATTTGTATGATTTTATAGGGCATTATATAATGTTCTGATACATGTGAAGGCCCCTTTCCCTCCTACCGTGAGAACAGCTGGGTTTAGATTCTGTGTATGGGCGACAGCCTGCAGTCCCTGGCTTTCTGGGCCTGGCCTGGTGGACATCATGGCCTCCTGATCCGTTTGTGTTGTGGCGAAGGCCTGGAGTCCACCTTCTCTCTCTTGGTCCCCTGCTGAGGTTCCAGAGGGAAGTGTTCCTCAACTTCTTGGGCACCTCAGTCCCTAGTCTCAGGAGAGAACAGCGTCGGCGGCCCACATGATCGAGGACCATGACAAGAGAACTGGGGACGTGGTTAGCCCTGGCCAGCTGGCCCCACACTAGAGCCGTCACACCGCTGGGGCAAATGTCCTCTCCTTGGCCTCTCTGCACTCCAGGACTCTGGGAGCTCCAACCAGCTTTCAGGCCTCYGCCTGGTGTCTCAGCCCGCCCACTAGGACATCCACCCGCCACCGGCTGGTCCTACCTGAGGCTGAAGGCCCCGTGGTGGGGCTGCCAGCTGTCCGACCTGGAGAAGGCCGCTGAAGAAACACCGTGCCCGCCTCCCTCCACGTGCCCAGCTCAAGTCACATGCCCGCCTCCCTCCACGTGCCCAGCTCAAGTCACATGCCCGCCTCCCTCCACGTGCCCAGCTCAAGTCACATGCCCGCCTCCCTCCACGTGCCCAGCTCAAGTCACATGCCCGCCTCCCTCCACGTGCCCAGCTCGAGTCACATGCGTGATTTCAAGACATTTCACAGCCAGATTTAAAGAGCAAAAAGAAACAGGCAAATTTGATTTTAAAAACATTGTATTTGACTCAGACATGCACAGTATTCTCCTTTTGACCTGCCAACACAAGATCAMAATGAGATGTCTCATGGGTTTTTTGGTCATCTGAAGCTGTGGAGATCCAGGTGCCTTTCATACTCACAGCCTCGGGCCGGCCCCTCCCCACCTGCTCAGTAGCCACACAGCAGGCGTGCCTCTGGAAATCTGGCTGAGCCTGCTGTCCGGGTCCCTCCCGCCTRAGGAGAGGTGCCACCATCTGTGGCATGCAGGGGTACCGTGCTCAGTGAGCCTCGCTGTGGCCTGGTGGCTSCCCGCAGCACAGCACTTTCCTCAGTCAGATCCCTGAACCTGGAGGGTGTCTCAGTGCCTCCTCTACCCAGCGTCGCCGGCTCCTGTGCCGGACTCCTCCGTCAGAAGGAGCTGTGGAGTGGACCTGTGGGGCCGATGCTGAAGAAGCCGCAGCCCTGTGAACTGTGGGAAAGAGGAGACCTTGAAACTTCGTTCTCAATCACCACTCAAACCAGACTGTGGGAACATTTCCTTAGCTCCTGGCACTTTCCAGATTTTCCAGGACATTTCCCACTCTGTGCTGCTGCCATGATAAATGGAATGTAAAAATGACCATCGGGGTAAATGGACCATCATGGTTGGATTTGCCTGACTCATTCTGAGCCATCAAAGGRGACCTCATGTCCCGCCYTGTGGCCTTGTAGTCCAGTCAGCTGTCCTCCAGATGGCAAGCCCTCTGCTCTGAACATTGAGGACACGGTGCYGAGACCAGGAGGACCTTGCAGGTCCATGCCTCAGTGCCCTGTTCTCCAGGCTCCCCTGCTCCTGAAGGGCCCCCAACTCCTAAGTGATTGTCGGGCTTCTCCCCAGAAGGAACACCGGTGGGAGCGTTGGACAAACTGCAGTGAGTCGGAAGTGCTCCCCGCATCTGGAAACCGGTGTGGTTAGCCAGTGCCCACATTAGCTAACTAGCTTCCAGGGTGGGAGGGTGTTASCTTTCTTCCTGTTACCAAACAGAAGAATTGAAGTGGCTTAGTAATTATGCAAGTGATTCCACCTGAAATGATGCTCACTACTATGGTTTTTACAGGGTAAAACATTATGAGCTGCTTAAAACTATATAAGWATCTTTAACTGGTAGATTTTTAAAATCAGCAAACAAATAGAAACAAAGAGGATGTTCTCCTGTTCCCTGA